CATTCAGTTAAGTTGATTTATTATATGTGCCGTTCCCAAAAGTGTCTTCAAATACCTTGCCTACTTCCCTAAATAAACTGAGCTATACTGACCTATATCAAATGTGCACAGGAATCTGCTTTTTCAGTTCAGTTCAGCAGAGACGATATTACTTGACTTTTTTAAATATATTATATTTTAAAGGTAGTCACTTTTAGACTACATGTGCAGTTAACCAAAATACACTGACATGTAAACAATAGCGGTTTTGAAGTCTTCACCTACTATCTTCCAAAAGAAAACTGAAATAACCTGGAAATATGCTTAATAAACACTTACCCTGGAAGCACATGTTCCCGTCTGGGTCACATTCGTAGAACGGGATCATGACCCGTTAGGGGGTCCTTCGTCACATGCTTCTAACCCAACGGGTGCATAATGCTCCCAGGTTTTTGTAGTACTAGCGAACTTCTTCTTGTTTACTACTTTCGGAGAACTATGAAAGACTGGGTATGTAGAAACCACAACCATTAATTCTACCATCCCACCCACATGGTGAGAGTGGCGGCTATGATCGGTAAAGACAGTCCAGTTCCTTCTAGTCCACCGAAATTAAATTAAGGCATTTATTTAGTCGTACGATGGAGTTAAGCCACGCCATTTGTGCAGCAATAAGTTTGAAATCACTTATGCCAAAGGCAGAAGATGAAAGACCTAGATACTGGGCCAAGAGCCCCTCCATATCCGTCCAGCTCAGTCTGTTTGACGGGGACATGTGGTAGCACAACATGGGCTCCGAAGAAAGTGGATAGTTGAGGGAAATGGAGGGACTTGAAACAAGAAAATGAATTCGAATATGGCCCAGTTTTCTTCCTAGTAGTAAGATGGTCATTCCTTGTCCTGTTTGTAACCTCGTTTTATTACTCCCCTTTCTGTATCATTATTTTGTGCCCCAGTGTCTAAGCAGGTTTTAACGCCCTAAAAGTCATCTGAAATATTCGGTCTTCCACTTACATTTCCTTTCATAGGAGCAGCAGAGTATTCAGCTGCCACTGAATTACATCGAAATACCACTGTTTAGCTATAACCTCAAGAAACGCGCGGACCGCTGAGTAAGCCAACTGTTTCCAACTTCAGAAATTTGACTTCAGCGCTTTACCGGCAGCCTTTAACCACAGTGTCTTCTCGCGTTTTCTGATTGGATGCGCTGCCTGCACTATCCCGGCGGAAAATTCCGTTGAGGCAATGATAACGTCTTTTTAATATGGAAAACATGCATGCTGCCCTTTCTGGACCCGTATATCCTCCAGAGGAAGGCCGAACTCGCCCGAGGACAGACCGTGATCTTAAAATTCAACGTGCTACAATTCCTAACTCTGTGTCTGGTCAGCCGACTGCACATCCTCCGGGGGGTGTCCTGAACTCTCATCCTCTTAACCAACCGCCCAATATAACCCTCAATGAACGACTGCGGAATGAAATGAATGTGTGTCGCAGCGATGCTTCAAACGCACTTTACATAACGGTGAAGAATTCGCATGGCACCATATCGCCGCTGCCCCCGGCCCTTTCGCCCGCCAGTCTTTCTCCCGCAAATTCGTCCAACTTCAATAGTTCTCGTGCTTCCCCTGCGCCACCCGTTATTGCTGACGAGGATGAACTTCCACCGTCATTGCCATATTCTTCTGCGCTTCCCAACTGCCCGACCGCACCGCCAAATTTAACAAGCTCGGTGGATGTGCCGAGTAAGTCTACTGACTATGAACCCTTCGAGAAGAGGACGCGCATTCGAACTCCATCCTCTTCATGCACATCCGAATCAACATCATCCTCCAGTTCGACCTCTTCAAGTTGTGAGGACGTACCCTTAAGACAGTCGCACACCAATGGTATCCCTATTTTAGAGAAGATGTCGGTTTCGTTAATAGCGCCAAAAGTGGAATCGACTAAAATTTCACCCACTGTGTCTTCTCCTGCTCAAAATTCGCCGGCAGCAGCTTTAATTGACAGCCCTAGGCGTCCAGTTGCAGCAAAAGTGACAACTGTGTGTTCACCGACAAAGGAGGCCGCTTCCACTGACGGACCCACCTTACCTGCGGACGAGGCAAAGACCGAGGTAAAAGTTGATTTATCAACCGAGCAGAAGGCCGCCGCACCGCAGGTGACAGCAAAGAAAAGGCGCGCTCCGGCCAAACGCAAGCGGGCGGTTGCAAAGCGCTGGAAGCGTGATTCAGAGTCCGACTTCGAGTTTGACGGTCGACTTGGTCCCCGTAGAGCCAAAAGTGCCGTGACTCTTGTCAAGAGTGTTAAAGAAAAAGCAAAGAGGTAGGTGTCTGTCAGTAAATAAAGTTAAACAGGGCTTGTCTATCTGTTGCGCTTCCTGAAAGGCGAATTCGTATCCACAAGTTATCATTAACGGTACCCCTTTCGTCCTTAATACTCTTTGGATTCATTGGTTCGGTGCCTTATATCCTGGATAAAGCCATGTGGTTTCTTGTCACTACTTTGAAAAGCATGCTTAGCTCTGTAACCGTGCATAAGGCATGGGCTCCGATTCTCCCATAGTCAGCTTTAAGTAGCCTGTCAGATTACAACGTATTAGACTGTGCGTCCTCATTCTGAACTCAGATATTGAACGCATCTGACAACGAAAAGTACGATTACTCACACTTCCATGAAATCTTACCATGGCTTTTATCTGTTACTCGTTGCTGTTTGTACCATCCCTTTCCTGTTTCTCCCAATGACTCCGCCACTTATTCTCTTAACGCCCGACTACGGCATGTGTATCTTCATGTCTTTCTTTGAGGCCCTGGAACATTTACGCACAAAAATAGGCTTTAAGTTTTATCGCCTCGAAAGAAGTTGGCCGTCTCACCTAGAAATTTTCCGTCTTAGGACGCATGCATTGGGATCGTGTTTTTGCCCCATGTCGCTCAAACGCAAGGTTAGCCGAACGATATTTGCATAAATTTTTGCGCACAGACTTAATAATAGAGAGGTGAGGGTGTTGCGGGCAAAGCTTCCACTCGTTCACCTTGTTGAAAGATATAGAAGCAAGCGCTTTGGAGGTATTGGCTAGAGTACTTACGCAGAATGACGAACGAACTTCTTACAGAATCCTATAAAGAGTCTCTGGCCACTAACTATCCGAAAAGCCGAGCTACTTTTTTCTCGCGACATTGTTTAATCGTCCGACGCACCTCCATTAACATTGAGTGTGGATGGAAACAGCTCTAATGGAAGGCATCATTAAAGCCGTTTCAAATATCGTATTGATCGTCTTATGGCCATTTGGACCATACCATTAACAACTTTATGGACGAATAACTAATTTAAGATATTTCATTCGCGTAGTCAATCCACATGACCAAGTGCTTCAGTATGTCTTTGAAATGTGGAGCGGTTAATTTCTCGTTTGTCCTTAAAATGGGCCTCAGATCAACGCACAGCTAACGGGGGTTGACATGGATCTTCCCCATCACCCATAGATTACCTTGGTAAACTTGTACTGTTTGATTGGCGAAGTTTGTCTCCAGTTCTGCCATTCCATCTCGATAGTTTATAATTAGTTGAGACCAGGTGGATCTATGGTCTTTATTGTCACAGACTTCACCGATTCATCCTTTTCCAGAGAATGTTTCAATATTTAGGTAGGTCTTTTATGCTCCAGACAAATTTTGCGTGCTCCGCGATTACAGCAAGTTTACAATGTAGATGACAGACGCTTGAATTAGCTTGCTATCGTGACTGCTGTAGGGCGAACGGAGATTTTTATTGCCTCAATAGTGTTCTTATGTTTGGAAAGAATTTATACGCTTTACTAATGGCACAGAAGAGCAAGAAAACTTGTGTATTTGCCCCCACCATAGCTTAACTTACACCGCGTCCTAACTCTTTTAAGCTCACCACCATTGATTTTTGGTCACAGTTTCACTGTCTTTAAAGCCGTTTGGTCGAATACAGACTTCGTTGCGACCTACTAGTAAATTTTCGATACCTGAAGGTTGACGTGCACCCCTATGATTAGATTCAGGTTACTTTTGTCGTTTCCTGGATCGCGTTTACGCTCGCCAACTCCAATAACATTTCATATAGTCCTTATTCACACGCGAGAATCTGCGGCGGCTACTATGATGAACTCGATCTAGTCTCTTCCCCAGTTGTGAATGCTGTAAGTACTCGAAAAAGCCGGTTTTTGATAACCCTCTTTTTATTCTGCAATAAGGCGGCGACCATAAACGTGGGATGACAGCACCGAACGAATGGGTTGGTCTACGAACAACTTTTCTGAATCAAATTAGTCACATTTTCTGAATAATCTACAGTATCCTATCGGTGTTGTCGCGTCGAGCGGGAGCTTCCTCATGGGAGACGATGCCCGCATACTTTGCCAAAAGTAGCTGAGAATCTCCAGTTTTCGTACATACTCGACCACTTACAGGCCTAAAGGAGAACGAAGCGTAAAATTCAGATTTCTTGTGGCGATTGGGATGTCGTCGCGGTTCTATAGATTCTTTCGACAACTAACAAAGACCCTTCAATAGGCATCAGTTCAGCAGCCATGATTCGTTGTGATGGCTTACCAGGAGTTTTATAGTGCCATGAATATGCTGGTTTTCCGGTCCCATTAAATCAGACGTTACATCCTCTGGTTGTTCATTTCTAACGGAAGGAAATCTGCACAGGATCGATTCTACACCCCCTGCCGATTATAAGGTTTTGCGAAGAATTCTGGAAACAAAATTATACATAACAACTGGCTGCGTGTGTTTCTGACCTGCACAACTGTCCTTCTAGTTTGCCAAACGCATCCCGCTTTAATAACTACACGTAAGCCGCCTAAAGACCCGGTTCTTTTCTGACGTCCCTACTTTTATTTCCTGTGAGTTTCTACTTAAGTAAGTTCAGTAAGGGTATGATTATTTTCTGATCAATGATATGCACCACCTATGTTTGCGGTGGAAAACCAATTGTTCGCTGAGTTGCGTAAGAAACTTCGAGTTTTTAGAAAGAAGTCTTCTAAAAAGTGCACAAGAGGCTTCATTGCCTAATTTAGTTTAACTTGATTGACGATAGGTTGCATCCATTTCGAACGTTCGGCCGAATTTCCAGTACTTCTCAAGAGTTGCTACAGATAAGAATGCGGACCTAATTGGGGTCGAAAGTAACTTTTACTCATCTTAGTACTTGTGACCAGCCAACAGTCAGGCTCGAGTACCCGTCACAGAGACTTATGTTGAACGAAATCTAGATCAGCCGTGAGGTCTGTGGAGCCGGTGGTTGTAAGCCTCTGACATGGCTGACGTGTCCAGAGTCGTCTGGGAACGATAACAGTTAGAACCGTCACAGACTTTTATATAAAATATTCTGTGACAATTCTAACATCCCGTTTCATCTCCCCTCTGAAAGGTGTGCTCGAAAATGACCGAGTTCTGGGCATCATACGCGACCTGCTCCCGATGTTTTGTTGTTTGCTAGGCCTTTACCGTCGTATAGTCAACAAATGACTGCGAATTACAGACGGACTGACATATGTAGCCTCTTTTTTGTTGTGCAAGTTCAGTATTGCGTGATTTTAACAGAAGAGTGGGGGACGAGAGGTTTTAAAGGCAGAACAAGCATGAAACGGAGTTCGAAGTGAGGACTCCGGAAATGGTAGTGACCGATTGCTCATCGAAGTCGAGAAAGTTCGGTATTCACATCGCGTCCATTCACTCTATCTGGGGGATCACTAGCGTCGGCTCATAACTTGGTGGTGTGTAGTGTTGCTTGAATTTGAGACCACTCGATGAATGTCGCTGCTGCGACCTACCAGCCCTGGTGATATTTTCTGGGCAAATTCGATTTCACGTCTCAAGTAATAACTGCGAAACTGCACTTTGGTTTTTTAGGCAGACATCTGTAGAGTTTTCTAACCGACGAAGCTGTTACGACAAAAGCGAACTAGTTTAAAGTAAGGCCTTCGTCTCTTTTGGTCTCCAGCAGAGCGGAGCCGAATTCTCCTTTTCAGAACCATGAAAATAAGAAGCTCTTGTTATTTTATAGTACCAAAGACTATGCACGGAGCCTGTTGGGCTTGGCCAGAGAGTGAGCATCCAGCCAGAATGCAGCCCGACTCAAATGTTTTGCCAGTTCCGGCACCCCACATCGGCCGCATCGTGCACTTTAAACGGATAGGTATGCAGCCGACTTTACCGGCTGCTAACTTATCATTAGAGTAACGTACTTCCCGCGATGTCGAGGCCGTCCACTTGAAAGATGACCGTCTTGGTCGAAAGTGCCAGTAAGTCTTTAATAATCGTCATGCCACGTATGAACGTCAGAGCTCTTGGTTGCATGTCCGGTCGAAGAGTTGTTTGACACCATCTGACTAGTCTTGTCGCCGACAATAATGAGCAGGTAACGGTGCGATAGTTTTCGTTTGTTCGGTTATGACAGAGGGATCGTCACGCGGGACACACACGGCAGCTTGCCAACAATGTCCACCGTGTGCTCTACAACAAGCTGCGCGTGCATTTCTTTATAGCGATAGTGGACTTACGCATCATCTACGCCCTCTCCCCCCAATTGGCCCGGTGTCATGACAAAGGTAATAAGACCTAAGGTGGGCGGGGCGTAGGTGGCTGGCACGGCAAGAGCCGCGCCTAGACGTACCACCACGCCCGCAACAAACACTTAACCAGGATTTTATACATCAAGAAAAAGGGGACAACTCTGATCCCACTGAATGGGAGTGTCATAGACGCCACATTAAGAAGGAACCATTGCTGTCTGGCTCTCAGCCCATCAGTCTGCTACTCCACACAAACACACACTGAGCTACACGCGAGGTCCGAGGTATCTCGTCAGTTGGCAACCTTCCAATTCGCGGCCTCTCACTTTCTCATTATGTACTCCAACTTTTTTTACCACTTGCCTACCGTTGTTAGAATTTATTGAAGTGCTTTAGTTCCTGCGGGATCCGCTTGTGCTTCGGCTATCCCTAGAGTATGTATACTATGTTCCTATGGAGACCTCGCTATTCGACTTCGTATATTTTTTCAAAAGTGAGTCACAAGCTGGCATTGTGTTTAGGGCACACGACCTTGCAGTGAATTCGAAGTTTGTTCACGGTTCTCTCTGACACCGTCATTGCATATGACCCGACCGTGACGGCCGCTAGGGCCTTTTTTTTACTGACGAGCAGCCCGACGTCTTATTACCACCTACAAGGCAATCCGATTGCTAATTTCACTCCCAGTCAAAACACCGCACCGTTTTGCGCTTTTTGTGACATTCGTTGTGCGATGTGCGGACTCTACGCAACCAGGTTAACGTGTACCAGGCCCGTTTTGGTCCAGCGCATCTCCCACGTAGTCTGTCTTAGGGACACAATGTTAAACACCACTGGAGCGAATATAAACCAATGATTGGGGTGTTTTTCCTCTCTCAGCAGAACGTCCAGGAATGCCAAGGGCAAGACTGAAAGCAAATTACCAAGTGGGGCTGAATTGGCCTCCCGTCGACGCTACCTTGAGTCGCCCTTCTTCTGCCTCTGCCAATCCTCCTCGTCATCCGAAGCTGTTGGCGTTTCCGGATCCTGTGGTGGTAGCGGTGAGGCCACGAAGGACGTCCTCTGTGATCTGCCCTCCTCAATGCCTGCTCACGTTGTGAACCCTGCTCTGAAGGACTGCTCCTCAGCTTTCTACAGCCTCGGCGATCCCCGGGTCACCTCTCTTTGTCCTCTTTTGCAGGAACAGAACGCTGGAAGGGCGGGGGTTGGCAACAAAAACGCCCTCTGCGGTGGCGCGGCTTCCTTTGTCAGTGACCGAACCGCAAACTCTGAACTCCAGTCCTTCTTTGCAAACTCCTTCTACAAACCCACCCTACGGCCTAATGTCCGTGACACTCGCCTGCCCTCAACGTACTCAGACTCTGCGTGTGGTGCCTGGTGTTGTGTGTTTTGCGGCGAGGACCCTGACTTTCTGTTGATGGGTCCTCTCTACGGTCCTTACTTCCTGGCAGAGCCGACTGCTAGCAAACTGTTGGCCCAACAGACTGGTGACACGCAGCAACAGTCTGCGGCGTTGTCTGCAATTCCATCCGACCTCGTTATCACGCCCTCCTCGCCTCGTAAGTCAATGACCAGCAACTCGGAAGTCGTGAGCTCAGCAGTGACGCGATCTTCGGCCGCCGCTGCTAATCCCGCCCGTCCGGTAGTTGCCGCGAACACGGGTGGTCTCCGATTGGTCATCAAGGCACTCTCTCCGACGTTGACCGGTTCCGTGGTGGTGAGCAGTGTTAAGAGCTCCAACAGTGGCGGTAGCAGCAACAGTAGTGTCGCTGGCAGAGGCCGAAAAAGTGGTGCTATTGGCGGTCGAAAAAGTGGCGGCGGCAGGAGAGCCAAATCAGCAGCGCAGCCGCCGGCACCGGCACCGTCGCCACCACCGCCACCCCCGCCGGCACCCACACGTCTCCGCATAGGCCTCGGTGGTGAGGTCTGGTTCCATTTCGAGTGTGTACTCTGGGCCTCGGGCACCTCGATCCACGGCGACGGCACTATCAGCGGTCTGGAGGACGTCGTAAGCATGGCTTTAGAGGCGGTGAGTGTCTATATTCTTTTTTCCCCATCCATGGCTATTTTACCTCTTGGAGTAACGATCGGTCAGATGACTGATTTTCAATCTCTATTGGCACGCTATGTCGAAGGCCTCGTGCCAAACCTTTTGACGTCTATTTCCGAAAGCCGGACCCGTCGCCTCTAAGGACCGCAACAGTAGACGCACACTTAGCTGGCCGTCGGTCTTTTTTCGACGTCTAGTTTTTGGCAGCACTAAAATCGCTAGGACCACCTTTGTGGACCTGGGCAATCGTCTCCCCCGTCATCTCAGCATCGTGATATCTGAATACACTTACGAGTGTTTCTGTTGCCAGTCATGAAGTACATAAGAGAGTCCAAAATGTCTGGCTGCTTGTGTCGCCGAGTTGTCGAGTGTTGGACTACCTAGGTACGAATTGTCCCCATTCAAGATAGCCGTTCCATGTATGTGTCATTGTAGGCAGACCAGACCAAAGTGAACCACTGTATGAATATTACGCGACGTTGATGTAAGCTTACATCCAGAGATTGTTTTCTTGTCATATTTTAGAATCAGTGCCTCCTTGGGCGCGCTGATATGAAGCAACTGTGTCATTGCTACGTATTTCGTAGTCGCCTGTGTATGCAGTTAGTTACCTAATATTAATAGCCCCCCGTAACTGCGTCACTTTTGTACAGACCTTAGTGGTGGAAACCAAGTCAAGCTCCTGTTGTGCATTTTAAGTTGGGAAAAACGGCAGAAAGTCGCGCTACTGCTACCTTGCATAATCCAGTCATTTGATTTGCGAGTGAAAGTTGCTTCGAGACAAGTATTGGGTTGAACCAGGGAAACCGAATATTGGAGTTTAAGTTGAGTATATGAAGACTATTTAAGGTACAGATCATCCTATTTCTTGACTACGGATTGTCCTACTTGGAACGCCGCATCTTTTATTCCAATTTTCCTCTTTTCCTTCTAATAGGCATGTTCCCACTGCAAGAAACCCGGTCCCATCCTCAGCTGTCGCAGCCGCGGATGTGGCCTGTGCTACCACTTCAACTGTGCTCGTTTGGCAGGTACTCTTCCTATTCTTTTTGCGTTTCTCGGAATTTTCTCGTTGAGGTTCGCCTTGTAAAATGGTACCTCACGCGCTTTGTCGTTTTTGTGGTCTGTCGTGGCCATGGTTGCGCTGTCACCCACATGAACTGAAACGGTGTTTATGAGTACTTATCTTACTCTAGACGAAACTGGCTTGGCCGATGTTACCTTGCCAGCGACCGACAATTGCATGCCGCCGCCGAGTTTTAGTCCCATTGTCCGAAAGCGAGACCGAGTAGTGACTAGGTAAGAGGGTGTAGTGTAAGATTTCATCGTCCGCAAAGACAACTTTCTACAACGTTGTCACCAAGAGGTGTCTCCCACTGCCGGGATGAGATCGAACCTAGAGAGAGGATCTACCTGTGGGGGAGGTGGCGAATACTCCAGGGGCACTAATTGTATGACATTTAGAGTCCTTCCAGGTGACTGTTACGTCGGGAATAAGCTTTCCCAGTCGTTCAACAATACCCGAAATTCGCGAGTTCTCGTGAAAAGCGTGTTCAATTTGCTGAAGGAGTTTCTGGGCGCAAGGACGTGTTCAGCGCGGTCAGGCGCTTATTTTCCGCCTCATGAATGCTATGCATGTGAAGGTTTCGATTGGCCGCCATTGGGCGTTTCATCTAGCCATCCAGGGCGTCAGAGTCCAAGTCTTCACCATATCGATGTGTCTCGGCCCCGTTGAACAGTTTTGTCCCACAACTGTTGGAAACACCTAGGGTCTCAACGGAGTTGTCCCTACGCTAACCAATTGATGCTTTTTGAAGGACGTGCTTCCCGTCGTACGCGGTAACACAGACTGCCCAACACCTAAATCACGGAAGCAATCTGTTGAAGATGACCACCCTCGATTCTGACGGGTCAGTTGTCCTTGAGGCGGTTATCTCGTCATGTAAACACAGAGCCAACATGTTTCGTCGCCTGGGGTATTAAAACCTGCTGTTAGTCACGACCACACTGCTACCTTCGACAAAGCCGGTAAATGGGGATCTGTCCCTACATCTTACAGATCCGACAGGCACTTAGTGGGTCATTGGGTCAACATTTGCGCCCTATCCATTCTCCACTCTCTCGTTTCAGCGCAGTTGATGCCGCTGTCTCCACTCGTTAAGTCTACAACAGACGCTGCCATGGCAGGGCCATTTCAGTCTCCGCTCAGGTTTTGGGGACAGGAAAAACTTTTTCGGTCAAAATAAGATGAGACTGAAGTCAGAACGTGTGACGACCTCACAGTCGGCCATCCAGCTGCAGCCTGACTGGAGGTCTTTTTTCCCACTGGGAGTTGTGTATTTTGTGAGTTGAAAACGTCACATCTTTATCCCGCGTGGTCTGTTGACCTTGACCTGGCCTTGAGGCAAAGACGGAAGTCTGTCGCCACCGAGGCAGAAGGCAGTTATGGCGGACTGTCGGAAAAGGACGGACCGTAAATTGCCCTTCAAACGAGGAACTTCGACCTTGCTGGCCTTCAGCATCTTCACGCAGTTGCTTCATGGTTGCATCTGGCTCATAGCTGAGCGGCAATACTGTCGCAATGCAGTCCTGATGGACGCATCAGTGCCAATTTTTTCGCAAGGGCGCGTCTACCAGCCACATATAACTTGGCTCGAAACCCATCCGGCGTCATTCAGGTGGTAGGGAACTGAGTTGCAGGAGACTCCTATCTGCAGTCTCCCCCCGGTCCTCCTGTTTACCATCTCATCTGCTTTTTCACCTGATGAACGAAAACGTGCGTAAAGGTCGGCCTAAACTACGTGGGTTCGCTGTCCATGCAGCAGGCCCGGATGTTTACTGTACAACAGCTCTTTAGGCAGTCCGTCTCAGCCGTTTATCCAGCCAGGTCACAGGGTAGGTTGTGAATCCCTGCTCCTGATCCCATAGCACGCTTAGTGAATGAGCTTGCTTTTCAGTTCGTTTTGAGCACTGATTTTGAGCCTGAAGAGGTATTCAATTATCTGTAGGTAAAACGGCAGTGTCTGCGTTACGTGCAAGATGACCGATGGAAACCCTGGATGCCGATTACTGGAAACAGTCGCAATCCTTTGATTCTTACCCACCTAGAGTCAGCAAACAGCCTTATAGGCGTTAAGTAACTCTCGTAATCGTCCTGCATGACTGGATCTCGGACTGGCCGAGGGCTGACGCACAAAACCAGTCCTGCCAACTTGTGCCTTCCCTTTGCGCCCCACCCACGTATGCCGCGTCATAAGTAAACCCTGTGACAATAGGAGTTCTGAGGTTCGCGTCCGCTAATGGGGTTTTAAGTCCTAGAAGGCTTTTGACACATCTTAGAAGTCGATGTATTTAGGCGCAGATAGCCGAGGGTTAGAGAGTCACCCAAGACAGGATAGGGTACAATCCCAGGACATCCATGAAAAAGGTGGCTGGGTATCCCATCGTCCTATAGGCCTTTAGGGATATTTACATGTCTGTGAACTTAGTGAACGCGTTTACTCGCCGAAACTTCAACCGAGTAGGTGGTGAATAAGGGCTGGGTGAAACAGTGGGGTCCCTGAGGGATTTTTTAAATAACGTTATCAGTGAGTAATTGCCGCGTTTTCAAAAACCATGCTATTGCCCAGCACTGCCACGGGTAAGACCCTCAAAAACCGCAACCTAAACCCGACCTAAATTCTGCACCGTCCGCACGAACTCAGTGGGGTTGTCTAGGCTGCATTCTAGTGGCCCCAATGACTCAGAAAACTGCTCCCTCCGACATCTCGGGCAGAAGATTATACCTTTGATCATAACGGGCAAGAATCAGTTAGGCAGATCTTGGTGTACAGCATTGCTGCTTCTCGCATGAACAATATGTAATAGTCCCCTGGTTAACCGGAAAGCCGAACTTCAGGCCCTAGGTGACTTGAATGAGGCTAGGATGAACTGAGATAGTCACCAGGGTCCATTGAGGTTGTGGGCCCTAGGCGCTGCAGTGGGACAGGTTCGCCAAGATATTATACAGAAAATGTCCCTCCTAGTCGATTTATTTGGAAGGTAATTATGTTGCACTAATATTTTTTCATAAATCTTGCATTCCCACAGGAGGTAAAGCGCATTTAGCTAGGTTTGGGCATCAACCTAAGAGCCAGCTTGAACCGACCGTCGTTGTTGTTTATGTCCAACGGGGGGGGGGACTTACAGCAGGGTGGGAACAGGGACGGTAATTTGTGCGTGAACTAGTTTATAATTGTTATGACCCGCCTGGTACTTGAAATCCCGTGGAGCGTATACGCACTCGACCCTGGTCCCCAATATCAAGGCAGCAGACAAAGAACACACGGCTGGCCACGGAACGTGTATTAGCAAAACACTGCAAGTCACGACTAGCTAAATGTGACGCATATTTATAACACGCTATTGTGGTTCGCCGGCATTCGGCCAGTGACCTTCGGGAAGAGGGGGGAGTAGCCAATGGGAAGGCGCCTGATTGAGATGACAGCGCTGTAGAGAGAGAACAAACGCACGTGGTCTCCAGTGATTGGTTTGCTCTTGTTTTTGGGAGTGTAGGCACCCAACAATAATGATAGTAGACTTTCACAGCATCTACCGCACCATCGCCTCCTCCTCCATCTGGACCCGGTGTCAAGATCAAGCCGAGGACGGAGGTGTGAGAGGCCGCATGTTGCTGGCACGGCGTAATCCACACCTAGCCGTACCACCGCACACCCTGGTCCACAGAAAAAACGCATGACCAGCATTTTCAACGACAAAAAAGTGGCGGCTGCAGAGACCCCAGTTGGCTCAGCGTGAGCCTGCAATTGAGCCTACCACAGCACCGCAAATGCCGGTATATGTTAGGGGTGCGCACTTCCGATAACGCCTGCCGGAATCCGATGTAGCATCCGTGTTGCTCCATCGCATCGACTGCGTGGCCTGTTTTAGGGCTTGAGTCAGTGGCTTTCTGTGGTATTCAAGGCCACGTGTGATTTTGTGTTTGCCGGTCTGTCCTGATTGCAGACCCGATCAGTAAGCTTTTGTCTCCTATGATGGGTTAGGATGTGAATCTGAAATTTCAGGCCAGTGAGACTTGCACAGACGATCGGGTCTAATTGCATTTGAAGGCAGAGCAGCCAAGACAAGGCGGACTTTTCTCCTCTAGACAACTTTATTGCGTGTTTGTCCTCCCCATCAGTCTCTCTCTACCTCCTTGTGTGTTATTTTCTCTTCTTTAGAATGCCACTTCAACACTGAACAGTTCACCGTACTCTGCAAGAAGCATTTTGTGTATTCGTGAGACCCGGACTCTGGCGTCTGCATCCGCCTTTGCACGATTCCGGCCGGGAGGTTTTTTTACGCAAAAAATAACGATGCACCATTTCTATGTAAATGTAAATAATAACTCTTAGAATACTATACCCACCACCACCACCAACGCGACAAGTTGCCACGCATTAACCTATTTTTATGCTCCATGCCACCCATACGCAACTATCTTGATCCCGCTTCAACGTCTGTTCAGATCTATGGAGATTAACCTGTTTATACCTGTTTACATAAACTTAAGGATGTGTAATAAGTGACTATCTGCATGTATACATATACCTCCATCTGGGGACGCTGCCAGTGGCATCTGCTCTCTTGTATGTGCTGGGCGACCCCTCCCCCTTGTACGATTACGCCGCTCTGCGGCCCCTCCACCCGTTTAAAGAGTCAATTTTTTTAAAAAAGATTGTTGTGAGTGGGGACCGACGGTAGATTGATTGTGTGCACATCTGTGAACCTTCAACACGGCAAGCACTGTAGCCTTATACCTGAAACGAGGTCAGACATTCTGCGTTACCAGTCGATTGTCAATGAAATCAGTTGGGGTAGGGCACCAGCAGTGTATGCCGGGCAAAAAACTGGTCACCCTTTGTACCCGACTTCATCTCCATTTGTAACGACAGCTCTCTGCACCGGTGCACGATGGAAGAAAGAGGGAGAGAGAGTGGTACTGGTCCCGTCCCACCTCTGCCCCACTACGACTGACGGTTCGGTCGTTGCGATCGACTTTGTTCACCCCGTGCTCCACATAATGAGCGCAGCAGCAGTGACTTATGCGTGGTTCAGATCGCGGTGACGCATACCTGCCCACCGTCTAACGCAATCCCCCTTCTCACTGGAGCTGAGAGTGAGCGCAGTAGTGGCTACACAGCCCACACGACTTGGCTGCGATAAGGACGACCCGGATCGTACGCGTGTGTCTGGGGTTCATAAAGGCCACTTAATGAGGGCGATACTGCAGCCTAACTCAGGTCTGAGAGAACCGAGTTATTCCGTCAGTTGGCAAATCGGCCAAGGCATGACACCTAGTGAGT